AATCCATATCAGGTACAGCAGCCTACAAAAAGGACATATTAATACACATTTTTAATCTACTTATTTTATGTAAACTGTCCATACTAAAATGCTTACTTACCTGGTTTTCTGTATGTGACACTTCACCCTGTGGCTGCGATTGTTCAGAGGTCATGTCATCCTCGGGATTGAATAAATCATCAGACTCCTTGAAAAGAACTGGGAGGTTAGTGAAAAGTTGTTGAGCAAGTTTCAAGAAAATAAAGCACAACCTTACCTTTTCTAAGTTGCTAGTCTTTTTCTTGTACCTGCCAGTTTTTGGGTGGTACAAGCGCTTCCTTCTCGATTTCTTCATGTTACAGAAAAGCCCACTGACCGATTTGTACCAAAAGCCACAATTCCTGAACAATAACACCTTCTTCGCTCACGTCTGTCACGAAAACATAAGCTGTCTAGGGGCCAGGGGAGGGGAGGGGAGACGGCGGCTAGCTGCCCCGCGCTACCCCGCGCGCGCAGCGGCAGCGCGCCGCTAGCGCTCCTAGCGGCCGCGCGCTGCCGGAGTGAAGACGCGGGTCCTGTCGCGGCTGCTTCGCGCTGCTTAGCTCGCTGGCGCTCGGCTGTCCGCGGTCGGACGGTTTTGACAGGGATATCACCAAATGCAGGTCACCTTTCCGAATACAGTGGTACCTTGTTCATGGCTGTGCAAAGCACAGGTAGGGAGTAAATTGGTTTCCCAGGTCGCCGGACGGGGTCACGGCCGGAAGAAGCAGGGACTCCAGGGCGCCCTTCTCTCATGCTGTGCACTCTAAATGTCAAGGGACAATTTTGTCCGTAGATTTGCAACGATTTCGTGCACATTCAGAAAGGATGCAATTTTGTTCCTAAAACTAGACAAATTGTGTGAAACTTCACACAATTTGTCCAACTAAGGGAACAAAATTGCATCCTTTCTGGATGTGCACGAAATCGTTGCAAATCTACGGAAAAATTGTCCCTTGACATTTAGAGTGTGAGTTGCTCCGTTCTCGGCTGGATTTGTCATTGATGTGGTCTGAGGAAGGCATAATCGAGGTTCAGGTGGGACTCAGCCGTAGTAAAGCACGGCAACCGCGCCTGCTGGCTGCGAACTGTCGACTGGATCTCAGTTGCACGAAACCTCGATCAACTCTCAAAACACCATGAAATAGGCCTGGGGATTCTGTGCGGAGTCACCCACGATCCAGGCGAAGTCCATACTGCATTCAGGCTATCCTTTTTTCACGGGGGAATCAGAACGCGACTGCGGAGCTGGAGCTATAGGTCAGGGCATTTAAGCGGTGGTGGTTTTATGAGTAACGTTCCTGAACAAATCGTTACTGAAACCAATCTGTAACGTTACGTGTCGTCCCGAAAATTAACGTTATAATTTCGTTACGTTCCCTCTCCTGAAAACGTTATAGAACGTAACAATATTAGTGAAGTTACTTAAAGTGAAGAGCAAAATTTGTTACGTTCTTTGATAACTGTGCCACATTAGTAACGAAATTACAGGTACCGTTTCTTTCTGTAAACAAATGTACAGTTTTCGTTCAAAAAATCGTTACTATACTCGTTACCGTAACGTAACCGGTATACGGATCAAAATATTTCGGTACATTTTTTTTTTGGTAACGTAACAGCGTTACGTTAAGTTACGATGCCCTGCTAAAAATGGGGATACGGTGCTCATAAGTTAGAAAGTAAACAATTTAAGCATTACTGAACCAGGGTTGTAGATGGGACGACCCGCATACACCTACAAAAGAGGCGGCACATCAAGACCTTATTTTTCATTGATATGCCCGATCCGAAATGAATTGTACGCTTTTGGGTTGCGAAGCAGTTGTTTTTGAATCGCTGCTATACGCGCGCTAGGTGCATCAAGATCGCTAGGGTTCGCTCACATATTTTACCAAGGGATTGTCTGAGTTCGCTCCAATTTGTCATAGGCTCGCTCCTGTGCACATGACGTTCGCTCAGGTTCGCTCGGATATTACGCCATAGAGTCGTCAGTATTCGCCTCTGTTCGCCACGGGTTCGCTCTAGGTCGCTCGTGTGTGCGGGGAGCTCGTCAGCTGGCTACTGGAGTGCGATTGGACCACCTATGTGCGCGAAAAGCTAACTTTTGAGTCGCTCACTTCAGTACGTTCGCGCGCATTCGTCGCTTTGCCCAACTCAGCACAACAGTGCGGTTTTACTCATTGGTCGTCAGCTAGCGCACTAGCAGAATGAAGAATGTTTGCTCTGGGTACGTCAGAACTCGCGAAATGACCCCTTTGCGATATGTACCGAATTGAAAGCGAACAAGGAACAGCGATCGCTTTTTGTACGCTTTCTGAGACGCTTTCTGTATGCTCAAACGACTCATCCGCAACCCAAAAGCAAACAATTCATTTTAGATCGGGTGGGAATCTTATCTGACGCAATCGTGCCTTCCTGGAGGCGACACGGCGACCTCTGGCAACTGCTTCGGTGAACAGTATTTCGACGTGTCCCTGGAGCAAAGGCGGATCTGCGCGCAACCGATGAACAAGGGCGCATCTGTTTCGGTGCCGCCGAAGAAGGACGCATCTGTTTTCCGTGAGGTGAACTTTGGACGCTCCTCGCACCTCAGAGGTTTGTCCTATATATTTGGACGTTAGCTCATATTAATCCTTGATTCTTCATTAGTATGTACCGTAAGTTTTGCTGCTGCATTACTTCTCTACGTTAAACGGGAAACATTTAAAGTTCCCCCTAGCGAATCTCGCCAAAAGCAGATGCGCCCTTCTTCGGCGGCACCGAAACAGATGCGCCCTTGTTCATCGGTCGCGCGCAGATCCGCCTTTGCTCGAGGGACACGTCGATTTCTCTATACAGAGCGGTACTTTGGGCTCGAAATTATTACAGAAACTCCACCCAGTTTGACGCCCAAAAAAATAATGAGCTCCCTTACTTTTTGAAAAAGTTAATGAGAACCCGAGCCGAAAAAAATGTTCACTATTTGTATGCTTGAGGTCCGCTCTGACGAACCCGGGACGTACAAACCGCAATCTGCATTGAAGTACGCTATGAGTACGCCCAGGTGCGCCGTGAAAGTTTGTCCGACTTCGTTTTCTAAGCGCATAGGTGTCGATTTGCGCACTTGACGTACCAAAAGCGAATATGGTTCACCAGTACGCTTTTAGGTCGTCAAAAGTTCGCTTTTAGCGTGGGTATTCGTAGGGGGGG